ACTTCAGCTCAGGTCACGATCTCGCGATCCGCGAGTTCGAGCCCTGCGTCAGGTTCTGGGCTAATGGCTCAGAGCCTGGAGCCTGCTTCCGATTCTGTGTCTCCTTCTCTCTCTGCCCCTCCCCCGTTCATGCTGTGGCTCTCTCTGTCTCAAAAATAAATAAACATTTAAAAAAAATTTTTTTTTTTAAATAAAAAAATAAAATAAAAAAAATAAACACCAACAAAAAATTCCCATATATCCAAACAGTCTAACAAAATCAAGCAGCCCAATGAAAACTGGGCAGAGATTAGGAAAGGACATTCGTTCGTTCATACATTCCTTCAATTGATATGTATGGAGTGCACACGTATGGCAGGTCCTGCTCTAGGTGCCAGGAGCATACTGGATGAAAGAGAGTCCCTGTCCACAGAGAACACACATTTGAGGAGGGAGACAGAGAGACAAGAACCGAACAGTATTCAGGTAATGATAGTGCTAAGAAGAAAAATTAAGTAGGAGGAGGGATAGAGGGGGCTGGGGAGGGAACACTACTATTCGTCTACAAGGGAAGACTAGAGAAAGTTTCTCTGAGGATGTGGCTTGTGAGAGAGACCATAATAACGTTCGGAGCACCCAATGCAAATATCTGTCAGGGCAGCGGCACGTTCCAAGGCCCTGAGTTGAGAACAGGGTTGGTGTGGGGGAGGGCACAGAAGTGTGCATGGCTGAAGGACAGTGGAGGAGGGGTGGGCATAGGAGTGGAGATGTAGCTGTGGGCCAGGCTGGGCAGGCCTCTGTAAGCTCTGGAAAGGGTTTGGGATTTTAAGTATGATAGCAATCTACTGGGAGGTTTTGAACAGGGGAATAATACTGATTTATGTTTGAAAACAATATGGGAGGATGGAATGAAGCAGGGCAAGGGCAGAGGCAAATTCTGCCCAGATGAGAGGTGGAAGATGGTACCTTACTCTGGTTTTGACTTCCATTTTCTCATGAGTGCTCTTGCAAAGCCTTTCTTCTATTTCAGAACTATGGGTATTGTTTGAAAACACCAATTTTCAGTGGACTGTTGGGGATGTGGCCAGACTCATACATTGCTCATGGGAGTGTTAACTGGTACATTAAGGAGAAGACTGGGGCAATAACTTTCTTTTTTTTTTTTATTTTAGAGAGACAGTTTGAGAGCAGGAGAGA